TTGCAATTTTTGTAATTATTATTTTTACACTTCAGAACAAAAGAAAAAAAACATTCATGTAAACAAGAAAAATGCTGTACATAAACCAAAATTAATAAAAGCTACAACTGAAATATGCAAGCATTTCATTTTGCATTCCTATCATCTAGTCTACTCCAAAAAGGTAATAATGATGGATTTGAGAAAAAAATCAATCTTTAAGGCTGGAAATTAGATTACTGAAGTGGCTAACATGCTACTAGCATGATCTAATCAACATATTTCACTCTTTGTTTTGCAAACACATTGACAGAAAAACTGCCAAAACTAACCAAAATAATAATAATCTCATGTTAGCGTTGGTCAAAGCTTCAAAGAGTCGCTGCAGAGGGACCAAGGAGCCGCATGTGGCCCCAGAGCCGCAGGTTGCAGACCCCTGATCTAGAATGACAGAAAGGCAATTAAAGGAGATATATCATGCATATAAATCCTTCTTTTTCACATTAAAGTCATTCAGTTGAGGTCTATATAAAGTGGAACTGCAATTCGTTGGTGTGCATTCCTCCTTATTGTAACTCCACAATCCTCTCTTTCACCCCTTTTAATGAGGTGTGCCTCAGATCAACTCGTTTTGAGGCTGTCTCTTTAAATCCAAATTAGGTGCTGCACACCCCGCTTCCCGTCAACTTCCAGAGCGGTCCAAGTTAGATAGAAGGGAGGGGTGCAAAACCTTTTTTTTTAAAAGAATTAAAAGACGTCAACATTGTTACATGTTTAGCTGGGTGTTATTTTCATCGATTATTTTCACGGGACACCTGTCGAACTCTGTCTTCCAGGACAATGTCAACATAAGCGAAGCAGCAAACTTCCTGGTCAAGCACATCATGGCCACAGAGAGCGACATCCTGAAGTCCGTGGTGCCCGACACCATCTCACCACAGATCCACTCCAACAACCAGATGAGCTGCTCTGCCTGCTTCAAATAATGAACGCGGAGGAGGGTGGTGGGACTAGAAAGAATAGAAGCACAGCAGAACTAAGAGGGACAAATCACCACAAAAACCTTTTCAGGAAATGCATTCAGTGCTGTGAAGTTGGACCTCTTTGGTTTATACCATAGTTTTGGGTTCTGGTATGACTATTATGGACTGAAACATGCACATTGTGTTTGAAAGTACGAGTTTTGGTAACTATTTGTGTTGGGATAGCCTGCTGAAGTTTTCTGGTAACTAAAGTTGAATGAAAACAGAAAGTTGATGAACTTCCATCTTCAAATGTTCTAAATTTTCTAACTGGTTTGTTTCTCAGTACCTTTAAACCCACTAAACCTTCTTTTACAAGACAGGCCTGCTTTCTTACTCTCCTGTACATGCCAAGGAGAGCAATGCAGACCAAGCAAGGAATAATTAACCATGTATACTTTGCATATTCTTTAAAATATTCTAATTTATTTATAACAAGCTTTTTAAGATGTGATGTGAATCTGCAGTGTCAAACCCTACAACTGACGGTTGTGTAAAAACCTTATTAATGTGAGGGCACGTTTCCCTTTTTTTGGGTGGTTTGCCAAACAACATTTCATGAAAACGTGCACAATTTTTAACCATTGCATGGAGTTTTATGTATATTTTAGGCGTTTTCTGAACATTTTTGTGTTCATCTACCAAAACCTTAGTATCCATGGAAACAGGAGTCTTTTTATGGGTACGCTCTAATATCTATGTGAAGCTATTTCTTGCTGTTCCAGGATACGTACATAAAGGCTCTTCGTGTTCTTTCTAATACTCAGCAACCTGTTGTTTTGCTGGGTTTCCTCTCAGTAGTATTGGACGTGAAGGTGGTTCTTTATTTTGTGATCCTAACACTCTTAGTCATATCCTGCCTTATATTCATTCCATATCAGTCAGAGCAATACCAAAGCTGACTAAAATGAAAAAAGTGTACATTATTTTTATCACTATAAATATTGTTTATCAGCCTGCAGATTGCTATGTTGTTTTCTCCAGTTTGCACAGTGTTAAGGAGCCTAATAATGTTTTAATGTTAGTGTTTTAATGTTCTTGTTGCTTATGTTACAATACGTGTGAAAGCGTGCCAGATTTAAAGAATGCCCTCTTCACGGACGGTTTCACATGTGTGATCCATGCGTCATGTGATACCAGGGTGGTGCCACACCAAATAAACCACAGGACGTTGCTTTGTGAGAATTTTTTTTTTTTTTCATATTTTGTTCCCATTCTAACAATAAGCAAAGCTTGTAATTCCATTTAAGGATTGGATTCTGTCATTATTTACAGTGAGGTAGGCAAATAAATGAACCACTTTACACATTAATCTTGTATTTCCTGATCTTAGAACCCCTTCTTAAATAAATACAGCACTGGTAGTGTTTTCAAACCATTTAACCTGGAAAAAAAACTGTTTACTTTAGAAGAGCTTCACATAAATTACTAGGAGTCAGCCTCCAAGTTTTATTAGTTTAGATTAAGATGTGTGTGTGTGCATGTGTGTGTCTGTTCAGGGTGATTCAGGACTYACAGGTTCTCATTAGTTGAGCATATGACTGGATTATTCTCAGATTTAGTTATCTGCTTTTGGCTCTGGTAAACATTCTGTGTGTGAGTGTGTGCGCTTGAGACGTGTTGGTATAAATGGGCTAAAAATATTTGGTCGTTTGGCAAAAAGGCCATATAGCTAGCTGGGAACTCAGTGGTCCCAAATCACTTAAATTGACCAGATGTGTAACTTCAGTGGGCCTTCCAGCTGCATAATGGTGCATCAGTCTAAAATGGGGACCACTTGGATGTAACACTTTAATGAGGAAATATGCGTCTTCCAAGCACAAAACCTAACTAAAGTAAATACACAGTTATAATTTAGCTAATGTGGAACCAATTGMGAATCCCACATGCTTCCTGTTTTTCTGACATTCATTAGGAAGTAAAAAAAAGTAAAAAGTGCAAAAAAGTCTTTAGAGATTGTGAATGTGTGACATCAAATAAAAACTGTATAAAAACAGGTAGAAATAACCATTGATTTAGTTTTGAAATGAGTTTTTGTAAAAAAAAAAAAGATAATAGACGTGCATATTTTGGCTATTAGTTTGATGACAGCAGGCACAGATTTAACAAGTTATTACTGGGATTATGAGCCCAGTATATCCTGCTCTCTGTGGTTCTCTGCCAGAGAACCACCTACTGTAAATCCTCACAGAAACAGAAAAGAGAGAGAGAGAGGAATGGAAGGTGAGAAGCAGGGATGGATGAGAAGAGAATCAGAATATTGCTAGCTTAAAGATTGCAAAGCTCAAATACTGGCAATAGCTATTCAAGAAGCTTTACGGGCAAAAAAATAAATATTAAAAAAAACAATTACGCCTATCTGTTATGTCTGATCATAGACAACCTCAAGAAGATCAATAAATTCAATGTGAGATCTTTTGTGTTTCATGTAAAAGTGTTCTGAATATGAAATAAATGATGTGAACCATATGATGTCTTTTTCCCTGTTTCCTGGAAATCATCCTTGTTTTAACAGTCAGGAAATGTGTTCATGTGGAGCCATCTGTTGTAAAGTTAAACTAACTACATGCATTTTAGTARTAACCAAAACTAAACACTATAAATGAAATTCCACTGGATTTGTGTGTCCTGGAAACTTCTTTTTTTTTTCACAAAAACAAACATAAAGGGACACCTTGTTTAGCACCATCCACCAACACAAAGACAAGTGCAGCCATTTAAGAAAAACTGGATTTCAAACTCAGTCACATGCTTCCTCATTCAAAAGACTTCCCCGTATCAGGGTGACGTTTTCCTCTTTAAGCCCATGGGAAGAAAAGATTCAGGACTCCTGACCAGTTTATATCGGCTGGTTGATCTTTGAGCCCTCTGATCTCTCTTTAGCTCTTATTGATTGGGGCATAATTAGCGTGCGAAGATGACCAGTTTTTTATGACATCAACAGCACGCTGTGAAAAGAAACAATGCTTTGAAGGAGGGCTGAACAAGAAGCTGAAACCTTAAAGCCAAGACACAATGTTAAAGTTACATTGAAACAGGGAAGTGCAAAACCCAAGAGGAAAATAAAATGAGCAAAATTAAATAACTAAGTTAAAATGTAAATACGGTTTGAAGGATGAGTTCTTGGCAAACCATGTGAGCTCCTTTAGTTATCATTCATATTGTGCAATGACATATTTTTTTTACATTTGATTACTTTGGTTAACCCTGGGTCATCTCACAAATGTTATCTGGGTCAGTTTTCATAAGCATTTTTTCCCCTAGAAAGTCTGAAGAAAACATTGAAAGAAACAAATCCAGACTGGAGCTAACATCCTTTGTAGCAGTGTTTCTCAAAGTTAGGGTCAGGACCCAAAGTGGGGTCCCGAAAAATCAAGGTGGGGTCCTGAAAAA